GGGGGGAGATATAGTAAAATTTGAATACTTCTCAGATTCCTCAGATGGTCATGGTGCTGCCAGTCAGGCCTATGACCATATAAGGTCCACAATGGAATGATACAAACCTTAAATACAGGAGGGCCAAGAACCCAGAGTCCTGATGGTTATTAAAACTTGAAATCCAGGTCTGAGTTCAGAACCTGAATGGACACCTTCCAGACTCACATTAGTTCATATGTGATCTACCATGAGATAATATTGTAAATACTGCCCACCTTGCTATACTCTTCCAGAAAGTGATAATGGAAAAGGCACAAGGGTCACTGATCTCTACTCTCTTCTGACAAAAAATATATATGAAGGAAGAATTTCTGAGAGATAAGGTAACATCAATCTCTTTGACCAGAGACAGAAATAAATACAACATTTTATGCACAAAAGCAACCCACAATCATGGAATAAGATACTGGGGCTAACCAGATTTTTATTTTTTGAAGAAAATCCTATGATATGCTATGTTAGTGAAATGAGTGTTTTAATGTGGTTAATGACTCTTTGTGGTGATAAAAATATTTAACTGTGACAGAAAACTGAAAGTAAAAAGAAACCATTAGCTACTACTAATGGGGAAAATGAGTCATCTAATGTCTGACTGTAGTAAATCTTACTTGTCTGGGGCTACGATCAAGGCAAAATCCTGAAAACACTGAGATGAATTCAGCATTAACAACATTGCCAATTCAGAGAAAGCAACCCTTTTGGTGTGTGAAAAATAAATGAAGTAATTTAATTTAGACTCATTCATTGAACTTCAAATCTATTACATTGTTAAAAGCTAATCACAATGCACTCTTACCTTTAGATCTTTCCAACTATCTAGGAGCTTAGTGGCCAGATCACTTATATCCACCATTTTATCTGGCTGCTCTTGACTCCTCTCACTTTCCACATCAGATACACCCTCCTCTTCATCTTGGGAAGGTGTTTCCATAGCAATAGGTTCTTCTAGCTTTGGGCCATTACTCTCTTTGGCCTCAGCTTCATGCTCTGCCTCTGGCTCTGAGGCAGGCTGTTTACTGCTGTCCACTGAGGTTTCAATGTCACCTTTGGTTGGTGGCAAGTGCTGTGGGGTAAGCTGCTGTGGTTGTAGTTGTTGTGGCTGTGATTCTTCATCTTCTTCCACAGGAGCATTTTCTAACTGGTCAAGGTCATCTTTGCCATCCTTGCCTTCTAGCTCACTGGTAGCATCAGAGATTGCACTGTCCATACTATTTTCACTTATAATTTTAAGTCTACGAAACACAAGTTTCTTTGGAGTATCTGTGTCAGCTTCTGTGTTCGGCTTGGTGGAAGGATCAGGTGTGTTGAGTGGTGTGTGTGCACGTGATGTATTCTCACTGGAATAACCATCACCTTCACTGAAGTGAGGAACAGCAGTCTTGGTTTGAGACCAGCGCTGGATGATTGGAAGTACTTTGCTCTCCTCCAACATGTTTTTTGTAGGAATAGGCAAATGTTCCAAGGTCTTTATAATCTGATTAAACACAATTTTGACAAAAATTCGTCATTTTATACTGCTCACTTTTTAAACCCTTGGATCAAAGCTTAAG